ATAGATCAAACAGGATTCATACCAGGAAGATATATTTTAGACAATGTTGTAACACTAAAGGAAGCCACCAAGATAATAAAGGACAAAAGAGTACAGGCAGCCATTTTATTCTTCGATTTCGAAAAGGCCTACGATCAGGTTAATTGGGATTTCCTTCAACAGAGCATGGAAAAGATGGGAGTAGGCCCAAACTTTAGAAGATGGGTAAGAGAACTATATGGAGACGCTAGAGGTATGGTACAAGTCAACGGGCATCTCTCAGAGAAATACGAAATGACCAGATCTGTAAGACAGGGCGATCCTCTAGCAGCTCCAATCTTCCTATTTGTGATGGCTGTCTCTTATACACATCTAGATGTGTATAAGAGACAGCTGTAAGACAGGGCGATCCTCTAGCAGCTCCAATCTTTTTATTTGTGATGGAAGCAATAGCAGCATACCTCCGGAAGGACCCATCTATAGAGAGACTAGTAGTCCAACAAGAGGGAAGAACTTTAGCCATTCCCACAAYTATTCTATTYGCAGATGATCTGACARTACTCATCAGRGCGACTGATTCTTCGTTCCAAGCTCTCACAAGGGCAATGCAAGCCTTCCAGTTAGCAGCTGAAATGAAAATCAACTGGAATAAGACAATAGGATGGTGGTTAGCTCCTTCCTCACCACCCCAACAAACCCRAGATACACAAGGAATACAATGGTTGGACCCACAGCAGCCGATACGCTTCCTGGGGATTCAAATATCATCAGAGGGAGCCAGCAACTCCTCAGGAACCAGCCTCCTACTCAAAATGGCAAATAGACTGACGGGTTGGCAAGCGGCTAATGTATCACTCATGGGAAGAGCGCTGGTACTTAACACATCAATTCTATTCACAGGTTGGTACGTGGCTTCTCTCTGGAACCCACCACCAGACTTTTTTGCAAGCCTCAAAAAGAAGCTAGGGTCTTATCTTTGGACGGGGAAGGCTGAAAACGAACATTATATCTCTAAGGTAGCATGAAAATATATCACCAGACCCAAACATCAGGGAGGATTGGGACTTTTAAACCCAGCAATACAATTTCAAGCATTGCAACACAAATGGATAATAAAACTACTGTTCAACAGAGAACTTCCATGGCACGAAATGGCCCTACAACAGATCCGGAACCTGGTACCTTTCAAAACAGACCCTTCCATTGAAGGGTACCATTTGCTCCTTAACCCCTCCTGGAACCCAAGAAGAAAAGAGGGGGGGAGATGGGCAAAAGACAGGGATCCCATAAGCGAACACTGGGCCACACTTTTAAAACACTGGAGGACCTGCCTCCCGCAAAAAATAAGAACACCAAGAATAAGAGAAGAAGTTCTAAGGCAACCACTTTTTGGAAACCCCCTGCTAACCGACCAAAACCATAAACCTTGGTCCCTAAACACAAAAGGAAAGCACTGGAGGAAATGGATGAGTAGGGGAGTGTGGAAAATAGAGCACATATGGAACTCAGAGCAAAATGGATGGCTTACAGAGCAAGACCTCATAACCAAACTCAAAGGGATCCACAATCTGAAAGAGCAGCGTGCAAGACTACTGGAGAGCGTCCCATTGAAATGGGTTCTCCTCCTGAAAAATAAAATAAAGTGGGCAGCAGGGGACTGGGCCACAAAAACTGAGGCCGAAAACGATACCCCAACCATTGCTTACAAATTGCTCCAAATAACAGATAGGCAGGAAGGAAAAGCCGAATTCGCAGCATACGAACTAACGAAATCACACAAATCTTGGGTATCGTTAGGCAGAATAATTGAACCAAGGACAACGGAAAGCCTCAATACCCTTAAAAAGGTACGCGCCTGTACACTCAGAAAGTACAGAAATCAAAACCCCGCGAACCAATTAGATATAAATGGAACCCGGCTCTACAGACCAGACCTTGACATCAAGGATCTAGAAATAGACCAGCCGAATGGGGTTGGATGGTACCTAGCACCCCAGGGAAAGCCAAAAAGCTTACCCCAATACATGATTATGAAGTTAAAACAGGCTACAAGCTGGGAAATCGTACAAAGGACCCGCTCCCAGTAATATCAGAAAGGTGGAAAAGAAATTTAGGCGAAAACGCAGGCTGGTCGAATAAAATCCCATGGAATCAATACACAAATATAAGACCGGTAAGAATCAGAAGCCTACAATGGCTCATTCTGTATTGGGCARTACCAGTCAACCAATGGTTGGCCARAAGGAGAAAACAGCAGGATCCTCAACAACAAATGTCCCTGTGCAAGGTGTGCAACGACCAAGCTGAAGAATCCCTGGTTCACTGCCTAATATCATGCCAACAAGCTCAAGAGGTG